CTTTCTCCCTAAAGTTGTTCATGTCAGATATTTTGACCCTAGTGACAAAAAGTCTGATTACTATGAAGGAAATCAAAGGTCCACCTTTTTTATGTGTGGTGTTGGGTATGGTAACCTATGCCTCTAGCATGCTAGGTAACTGCCTTACCAGGGAGTTATATTCCCAAGCTCCCGCCAAATTGTTATTGATAAGTAGTTGTGTGCAATTTTCTGTTTTGTTTTGTTTTTTTCAAGACAGGTTTCTCTGTTTAACAGCCCTGGCTGTCCTGGAATTCTCTTTATAGACCAGGCTGACCTTGAACTCACCAAGACCTACCTGCCTCTGCCTTTCAAATGCTGGGATTAAAAGCATGGGCTATCACTGCTGCTACTGTTTCTGGGATTACCATTTCATAACTGCTTACTACAGATAGCACAGTGGAGACCCTGGCAACAAAAGTAGCTACCACAGTTAGTTAATCTTTCATTCTATTGGGCATGATATATTTAATTCAATAGTTATATACATTTCAATTGTCCCTGGCCCCTGTTTTGGGTAACTGTTGCCTTGCTTGCTGACCTTGACCTTGTATCCTCCCTATGCTAATTCCCTGCTAGGTTCCACCCTCCTGAATGCTTAAGGGAAGTTCCTTGTCTGTGTATCCTGCATAATGGGTGTTCACAGCTTAGATGCAAGATTGTAAAACATCTGTAGCGAACTTCTACCCTCCAGGGTTCTCCCATTGTGATGTAAGCCTGTATTTAAGACCTCTTCCCTCCTTCAATAAACAACATTTGGCATTAAATAAAAAATAAAAAAAATAAAAAAGCATGGGCCACTACTGCCAGGCTATGTACAATTATTTTTGCAATAAAACAAATCTACTAATGATTAGCATGTGCAAAATCCCTAGTTCTGTACACAGCATTGCAAATATCAAATAAATAAATAAATAAATAAATAAATAAATAAATAAATAAATAATCATCACTCTTTGAGTGGTCCTATCAACACTTTGCTTAATTGGGACTTAACTGCTGTAGATGAATTTCTAAATGGTCTTATTAAGTAAAAAACATGGAGCCAAATATAGGAGTGAAAGCCTTAGAGATCAGGGAACTAGGAATAGTCACCAGCCAACCTTACCTCACCACACCTAAGGTTCCAAAGTGAG